TCGCAAAACGTTTTTTAGCTCCACGGATCCGTATCCGTAACGTATTTATCAGATTAATGCGTAGTCAGTTCAATTTATACGTGAAATGATACGGAAAACACGAAAAATGAGGCTTTTGTACGTTGGTCATTTACGTATCCGATTTTACCCTTCGATTATATTGTTTTTAGTTCTAAAAATATCACTATATGAACAAGCACAGTGTGCTGTGTATAATTTGACTAAAATTTGGTGAATGAATTTGTTTATTGTTTGAAATAAATCGAGTTCTTCAAATGGTATGTTCAATTCATTTTACACTGTATGGAATGGTATTGCAATAATTACAGTGTACATGTTTCGCACAAACGTTTTAGCTACCCGTATCAAAATCCGTAACGCATCGATGGAGTAAAAGTGTACTCAATACGTTTGTGATACCAACAGCAATACCGAAAGTACGTAAACTAACACTTTCTGTGCGTAGTTGTCTCCGTATCTATTTTGTCCTTCAAATCTTGATTAAAGTTTCCCTAAATGTATAATTTTAGTAACACACATATGTTATCATGTGTGTCGTGCTAATTTTGATGAAGTAATTGCCTTATCTGCCGATTAATTTGATTATAAGCGATGGGCCTGCACTTTTTACAAATAAAGCTTTAGTCACACTTGCTAATAGGCAGATGTAAGGTCTATCGTTTCTGGGGTCAATAGTAATACCGTAGTCAATTTCTTAGGGACATCAAACCAATGGTTATCAACTAGGCCACCTGAATATATATTTTATGCCTTGAGTCACGCTCCGAATTCATATAGAGCAGGGTCTTGGGCTTAGTTTGAGTATAGTAGCTTTTTCCTGACCTCGACAATGAATGTTATATTGGGTCTAAAGATGGCGCCCCGCATCACTCTTGCCCGTATCCAGCTTGTGGCAGGGGGGGGGGGGGTTGGCTTAAAACTCCCGAGAAGTGCTCAGTATGATGAAAAACTGAATGATTTTGAAATTTTTTTTTAGCCAGGTAACTTCTTCCCGTTGTATGACTTGAACACGCATCAAGTCATGCGATCTATGTCAAATAGTAAGCGGCCTCGTTTGGGGGTCCAGGGAGACTAGTGCCCTAAAGTTTAGTGCCCAAGCTTCCCCGAACCACCGTCAGTGATTATGTAACAGGTGGAGTATATTTCTTTGATCCTAGGATGATAATATTGGCGTATCATTTCCTATTTTCATTTTTGTAAAGACAGGCCTGACATCCAGATCCTGTAACGGATCTTCTCTCTTACATATGAGTCACGGTAGGGGCCCCAGATGTTCCTAACTCTTGGGTAGTGGTCCATGATGTGTTCTTCATTAGCAGCCTTGTGATGATAGGGAGGGGGGGGTTGTAATTCAAGTACATATTCAGTAGATACCGGGTTGTCCCCGATTGTTTTGTGCGATTGTCTCCAGTTGGAATAACTTAGTTAAGTAAATCGGTATCAACGTTTCGTTGTGGTTTATTGGTTGTGCCTGATTGTGTTTTGATGGGTTGAAATTGGGTTTAAATCGATTGAGTATTTGACTAAGCCTGGTTGTGTAATGGTGGGTTAGTGTCAAGTAGGTATAGGTATTGCAGAAATGTGTTGTGTACGTTTGAGACTAGGTTCTCTTTTGATGGTTGTTAGTCTGGTGATTTAGTATCGGGTTGTGTCCCATTGTGTTATGTTAATCTTATAATGGGTTGTTTTCTCTTGTGAATATGTTCTGTAGGTTGGCTAGCTGGTTGTGGCTAGTCGGGTGAGGTATCTTGTTTTGTCTGCTTGTGTTGTGTGATTGGCGTTGTCTCCAATTGGGTTAAGTTAGTTGTGTATCTCGGTATTACAATTTTAATGTGTTTTTTTGCCTGTGCCTGATTTTGTTTTGATTTTTTGGTTTTGGGTTTTGAAAAATTGTGTTGTGTTACTTGAACAATGGGCTGTGTTTGCTTTTGTTGGTTTAACATTGGGTTGTGCCAAATTGTGTGGTGATAATTTCACAGTTCGATGTGTTTTCATGGTTGTTAGTTTAGCTGTGTTTTATTGGTTGTGCCTGATTGTGTTTTTATTGTTTAGTGTTGGATTGTGAACAATTGTGTTGAGTTAATTCAACAATTGGTTGTGTTTGTCTTTGTTGCCTTATTATTGGGTTGTGACATATTGTGTTAATCTGACAGTTGGTTGTGTTTTGGTGGTTGTAAGTCAGGTTGCGCCATGCTGGCTTTGGTGCTGGGTTATGCTATATTGCGTTCTGAGTATTTTGACACTGGGTTATGTTCTATTGTACTGTTGCATGATTGGTGATCTAGGTTGTGTTTTGTTGTAATAGGTTATATATTTCGAGTTGTGGGCTGTGTCCGATCAGGCTGTGGTGTTTATTGGGATAAGAAACAAATGGCCGGTTTAGGGTATTATGTTGTTGGTTTATCAGTTGATTCTATGTAGACCCCAAAGGGGATATAGGGTATTATGATGGTGAGGTATTCAACTGGCATGGTAGGCGTTAGCTTCGCGTCGTTCTCTGATGAGCTGGTCCCCTGTTGTTCAATGAATTCAAGAAAAACAATGCTAATTTATCTTTTAACATAATTTATTTTTTGTTGATTTCTCATACAAAACATACTTTTATTGCATAACTGATATATTTGTGTCGCTTTCTATGATCAAATATGTTACTTTGCTCCCCTCCTTAGTTTATATGAGGCATGGGTTTTCAACTAAAGCCCATGTATGAGGAAAGGGGGGTGGCTTATGTGAAAACGTATGGTTTCCGAATGCCTTGGGCAAGTCGCTATTTTTTTTATTTATTTGATCTTGAATTATTACCAAAATATACAGCTGCAAAAACATGAAAGTAAAGGTCCATGTGCAGTATGGCAAGTGATTTTAGAAATGTTTACGCATTTTGTAATGCATCACTGCACGTCACTTAATGACCACTATTTCAGCCTATCTGTTTTCAAACCCTTAAATATTTCCAAAGGTATAATTTGACACTGAATTAGTCATTGTAAACCGAGAAATAATCTTTTCTGGCCTAAAGGATATTCTTCATTTTGAAATTGATGTCATGAAATTAATAAATGACACCTTAGGGATGAAAGGGTTAATGTCTATTTTTGCACTCACCAAAAATACTTAAATTGGAGTTGTGATTCTGAAAGCTGACACTCCCAATGGTGTTTTGAAATCTTAATGCAGATGAAGCCTTTTATTTGACCCTAGTTTTCACTTCTATTAAACACGGATTGAGATGCGTTTATAATTACGTACTTCAAAAAACGAACTGCGAAACGAAAATTATCGAAATACGTATCCGTAAACGTAACGAGATACGGATGCGGATACGTTTTAGCTAATTCGTTTTGCGAAACCTCTCTAATGACTACCAAGACATAATAACTCGAACACCCGACGCGCAATGGAAAGATTACCGCAAGGATTACGACAATACGGAACTGGTGTTAATTGTATTGAGCAAATCAACATGGAAATTCAAGAAAGGTTTGATCGGCAAGAAGCGTTTGACCCGTATTGGAATATATATCTAACATTTGCGAATATTGCATTGACTTTGCCTGATATGTTTTAATAAGATACGTTAATATTTTAAGTCTGCGTCCTTTATTACATGTATTATAAACATGCAATCAAGCGATTTTTCACTACGTTCTCGAAAACGGGCTTCAAATGTGTACGAACAGACTGGACGTACTTAGAACATGCTCAAAATATTCTCGTGGTCGATACGTTCTACAATTAGAACGAGTGACAACGTACTAACGACGAGCTGGACGTACTACGAACGGAACCGTCGTACTTCAATCCTACTAGGGGCGTTTTAACAACGAGTTTCACTGTCTGAAGACTTATTGAGAACGAGGTAGAACTAATTGCAAACGGGTTTAAACTGATTAAGAACGTATTTAAGACTGCTTATGAACGAGTTAGCAAAAATATAGCTATCACACCAAACAAGTTGCCACTGTGTTCTTCAAAACTGGTTTTAAACTGTGTGTGAAAGGAATGAACGTAGCTGCAACCTTCTAAGGTCTATTTACAAACTTCATGAACGTTCTCAGACGGGAAGGTGATTTTAAAATTTTGAAATGATTCAAAATTCGATGGCGACCATACCGTTCTGTAATTAGATCGTGTGACAACGTACTTCAAACGAGATGACCTACTAGACCAGGAACGTAATTGCCGTACTTCGACCCTACTAGGGACGAGTTAACGACCACAGCCAGACTTAGCCCGTTTTACGGATTTTTCGTAGGACTGGAAAGAACGGTTGAGAACTAGTTTGATGTGATTGGGGCCTTACAAGACCGTCGTTACAAGACGACGCGATGAAGTTGTTCATTCAGGTTTATATTTGTTATAAATATAGACTTGATTGCGTTTCAGACCCATAGCCAGGATTTGCCAAGGGGTGGACTACTTTTTAAAAAATTCCAGGGGGAGTTCACTTTTGGCAATGTTAGTTCAAAAATGGCCAAAATAATTTAAAAAGTGCTCAGAATGGTGTAAAAATGCATTTTTGGTCACAGAGGGGGGTCGCTAGAACCATTTAATTTAACTGATCAAATGAGATACGGGACAACGGACACTGTAATTACCATATGCCGTTGTCTTTCTAAATTACTCAAATTCAGATTCCGTTGTCATTGACGATATCGAAGACGCTATATTGTGGCGATTCACGACCCAATTTGATCGAAATTGGGATTTCATATGAACCATCATCACAAGAGCTTAATACATGCACAGAATTAGCGACGATAAAATTCCATGAAATGAGGACAAAGTGATTAAACAGTTGAAGCGACGTTATGTCCGTCATGTGTGACAACGGTATCTGACTTTACCGTTGTCAGGCTATTCCGGTGTGAGAGTGTCATGCTATGATTCTTGTTATTGCAAAAATAGGTTTCATTGAACGTTCATGTCACTTGTTAAAAAGGTTATGATAAAATTACAAGATTTTTTATCTCCGAGATCACCTTGACATCATGTAAGTTTATTTCTACAAAAAGGCTCACGAGATATAATCATAAACACCTATAAACAATGGCAGGTGTACCTGTGATAGACTTCCAAGTATATGGACTCGATGGAGCTACAGACATTGTACCAACTGATACAGATCTTAAAAAGGTTGCAGTGGAAATGTACGATGCACTAACAAATGTGGGGTGTCTGTACATTAAGAATCATGGGATGTCACCTAAAATGGTAATATTTTCACGACATTGATAATTAGGTCACCTAAAATAATTAATCAGCTCACGGAATATCGGAACATAGATCAATTAAATGGCCTATACCTTTGAATATTATTGACAGCTGCATTACACGCTCACAAATAGTTTAAGTCAGTAGGGTAAATTGAGAATATATGACGAATAAAATGCACGATGGGGCCCTTGGACAGTACAATGTACGCGTGAGAAACAATGGTTTATAGGGCTTTGGAGGAATATAATAATATTAATATAATCATATTATATAATATAATAATAATGATATATGTTTTAATTCCAGGTGAAAAGACTTGAGGCTGCAGCTCTTCAATTCTTTAGCTTGCCTATTGAAGAAAAGATGAAGTTCAAAGGAAATGCTATAACCCATGGTTACGTCCCAATGGGTGTAGAACGGTGAGATTTATAGGCCGCTCCTTTCATATATATATATATATATAGGTTATTTCATGCTTGATTTTCAATATGAATTTTATCCAGGGCAATATGATATTGACCGAGGGAAATTTGATATTGACCGAACGAGCGTAGCGAGTGAGTGTCAATATGATATTTCTCGAGGTCAATGTCATATTTCCCGTGGAATAAAATTCATATTGAAAATCAAGCATGAAATAACCTTTTTATTCCATAATTTAATTTTTGAGAATTCAAGGAAAAAGAAATATTTAAGAAAATTAAAAAATTGAATTTTTTTTGAAAAAATGAGAAAATGATTCAAAATCAATATTTTTTTTAATAAATGAAAATCTTAATAAATAAAAATTTCTGAAAATTTTTCGAAAAATTGGTAAAAAATTGGAAAAATCAAATTTTTTTGAAAAAATTGGAGAAACTGATGTTTTGATTATTTTGAAAAAAATAGGGACAATATGATTTTTCGAGTATATATGATTTTTTTACAGGGACAATATGATTTTTCGAGTATATATGATTTTTTACAAGGACAATATGATTTTTCGAGTATATATGATTTTAAGAGGGATAATATGATTTTATTTCCCAGTGAAAACAGTAGTATTATGGAATATAGGTTTTGAACACGATGTTTGGGTTCATAATCTCCGAACGTGCTTTTAAAGTTTCAGTGTAACCCCCCCCCCCCCCCTATCACACCCAAAATAGTTTTCAACAATTCTTTTCATTCCTACGAAAAGCCGTAAAACGGGCTAAGTCTGGCTTTAGTTGTGAAATATGTCTAAAATAACTACATGCAGCTACAGTCTTCAATACGTCCATCTCATTCGCAGTTCGTTCAGATCGCACCATGTCGATGTGTACACGTATTGCAATTGATATCCGATTGCAAAACGTCGTATAACGCGTCTCTAGTAGGGTAGAAGAACTGCAATTACGTTCCTGGTCTCGTAGGTCATCTCGTTTGAGGTACGTCGTCAGACGATCTGATAACAGAACGGCATGGTCGCCACTGAAGTTTGAAATGATTCAAAATTCTAAAATCACATTTCCCGTCCAGGCAAGTCCATGAAGTTCATAAATAGACCGTAGAAAGTTGTAGTTACGTTCATCCAGTTCGCACATAGTTCAAAACCAATTCGGTAACGTTTTAAAGAACGCAGTGACAATTTGTTTGGTGTGATAGCTATTTTTGTCAACAAACGGAACAGGTTGGTGTACTCACGACTGCAATTTACGCCTGACTGCACAACGTCGTAATACGCCCCTAGTAGGATTGAAGTACGACAGTTCAGTTCGTAGTGTTTCCCCAGTGCGTCCAGGTCGTATTAAGTACGTTTTCACTCGTTCTAATTGCAGAACGTGACGTCACCAGAAACGTCACCAGAAAATTTTGAGCATGCTTTAAATTTGGAGTAGTATGGGCTGCAACTTTCGACCTACAACCGGCACCGGCACTGTTCCACTTCCACGTTCCACTTCCACCGGAAGTGACGTCATAGGTCACATGTTACAGTTCCACCGGAAGTGAGGTCATGTGATAACATGGTTCACTTGGAGTGACATAACTGGTGAAAGGTTTCTGATAACTGATAATATAATCAAACAAACACTGTTACGGTAACCTGGTGACTATGTGATAAGCTATCTGTCTACTTCATGGGTGTTTCATTGTTACAGATAAAAGGTGGACATCAAACTGATAAAACAGTGAAAAAGATAACTGCACAACAATTTCAACCAATCACATGGCTGTAATATATCAATTTGACCAATTATATTTGACACATACTTCATAGGTTGTATAAGCTGTAGAACCATCATGCCACTTTATATCACTGGTCAAAGGTTACTGATAATTGGTGCAAGATCAAGGGTTTCTGATAACTGATAATATAATCAAACAAACACTGTTACGGTAACCTGGTGACTATGTGATAAGCTATCTGTCTACTTCATGGATGTTTCATTGTTATAGGTCAAAGGTGAATAACAAACTGATAAAACAGTAAAAAAGATAACTGCAGAACCATTTCAACCAAACAGGTTTTAACTTACAGAATTATGTTAACCAATCAGAGTAGAGTATATTTTAACCAATCAGATTTCGAGATGCAGAATCATTTTAACCAATCAGGAAACAGTATGTATGGACTGTTTTAACCAATCGGGGACAGTATATTTTCATCCAATCAGATGTAAAAAAAATCAACCAATCAGAGAAATGTTCCACCGATGTAACTGGTTCAAACCAGTTTTACAGATTTATAACAAGAAAGAGCAGTGTTTAAGTCATCATTCTGACAACAACCATGGCAAAGCAAGGAACGAAGAGTCAACTCATTAAAACATTTGACCTAGGAGAAGAATTAAAGTTCAACATCAGAAAGAAAGGGAATGTATTTGGTGAAATAACAAGACCAAGAAGAAATCAAGAAACCCAGGAGAAATATGAAGCAAGGACTTATGTTAGTTCACTGCTGTGGCAGAGTTTGAAAATGGAGTTTGTTCAAGTGCAGTTCTGGTTAACTCAAGAAAATTATAATGAAAAGAAACTTCTCACTGACAATGTATTGCTCGGATTGTCTTATTTCATGGATAAAGTATACATTAGTCTGGAAGTAATCAATAAAGAAGGCGAGAAGAACTTGAAGAGATCCATCAACATTCCAGAGGGTGCTTGGCAGTCACTTGTTGTACAAGCAGCAGTCATAGATGAACTGATGCCTCGTCCATGTAACAAGCGTAAAGCAGATAATGATACAGAGACAAAACCCATCAAACTGTTTAAACGTGTTGTAGAAAAAGAAGACGGAAGTTTAGAAACTGGAAACTGGCAGAATATGCCCGAGAGAATCTTTCTAAAAGAAATGTTGAATGATGGGAAGAAAGGTATGTATATTTTACTTTCAATTTATTTAATTTAAGTGAATTTGCTACAGCTCTTTTCGAATGAAATAACAAAGCTTTTGATATGTTATTACAGCTAACCTCACCATGTCTCAGATGAACTTCTCGAAACCAACTGTAAAAGATGTGATCCTCTATGTGATGACTTTTCTTATTCATCGTGAGATTCTTGAAGGGGTTAGTGATGTCTGCGAAGCCTGTGACATTCAAGATCCCTCCCAAGACCATCATGACTGTCTGACTCCTATGGAAGAGCATCTGTTTGCTTCATTCGAACCAGCTTTGGTCAAAGTCATGGAGAATAGTTCTGAAGTGAAGCAATGTGTTTTTAAACTGACCAAGTTGTTCAAGCTACCAAGCATCAAGGACATTCAAAACTTGCAAGAAAACATTGATCAAGAAGCACTAAAGTCTTCTATAGCATGGCCTAATGAACACCAACAAGCAATCAATGACATTTTATCAGACTGATTTATCCTTAAAGTTTAAGACTTTGAATATACATCTATCATATAATTCAAATACCATCAATAACATCAGTAACATCAATAAATACAATATTTAATGTAAATATATTATAAATTCAATGTGAAATAAATTATATAACCATGTTTTAAAATGATTGTTGTCTTTTATGTCATAACATAAATAGGTTACACTCTTCAAGTCAATACATTTATCAGTTAAACTAGCAAAGAGGTAGCAACATGAGTATGGAGCACTACATTTTCTTAGACAGTCAAGATTCTACAGAGTACTTTCCATTTAATACTGCAAACAGATTTACAGTAAAGCTACCTTCTTACTTAGCCTTCGAGGGAAATTGGAGTATAGGGTTAGTGGAAGTCAACACATCTTCTCTACAAAACAATGATATTAAATACCTGGACATATTTTGTGATATCGTTAACGAAAGTATTTGTCATGGTAAAAAGCTACCTCTGCTGAGAAGAATCAATCCCCGTGAAGGATGGAAAATATTTAGTCCTATTATTTATTTTCCCCTTAATCGTTCAGAAGTGGATAGGATCTTAGTATATTTAAGAGGTAGTGACAATCAATCCGTAGCATTTGACAACAAGAGGCTGACTTGTACGTTACATTTTAAAAAGAATTGATGGAGTGGCAAGAATTGGTTGACAGTGTTACATCTGTGGAACAATATAAAACTTCCATAGACACCATGTTTGAAGATGGAATCATCAACCGAGGCAGAATCTATATTATCATTCAGTTTACGATTGATATGTGTGTAAAAATTCCTGATAGTCAGAACTTGTTGCAGGAGATGTGTGTCAACAAAATTAACTCCCTGATAAATTCATCTATATAAATAGAAAGACAATACAATCGATTCATTTATGAAACTGCAACCGATGTGAACACATCATGCCTAAAATAGTGCCTTACGTAGAGGATCCACAAGTGTGGAAGAAGTTTATACGGGCCCAAGTAGAAGGCCGAGTCATCGATCATGCTGGATATGGTAAGCGAGGAAAATTAAAGTGGATACCAGTGTCATCTGTTCGCGAAACGATCGTTCAACACATCAGTCCTACAGAAGCCGTGGTACAGAGAGCCAAAGCTGAAATAGAGAGACAGCAACAAGAGTCACGTGATCAGGAAACTCTGTATAAGCGTAAGAGAAAGTCAAAAACATCAGTTCCAAAGAAACCACCGAGCAAGAAACATAAAGGAGAGTTTAGAGCACAATACAAACAATGGACTCCTTCAAAATAGAAAACAGCGCAGATCTAGTGGCGGACAATCTTCAACTTTTCAAAACACCTCTTACTCAGAGCAGTGTGACTTCAGTCAACTTTGTGGAAATACGCCCAGTGAACCCATTGATCGATGGCAGCCCTGTGGAATTTGTCATACCAAACAACTCTTCTCAATATGTAGACCTCAAGGGAACCAAACTGTATGTGAAAGCCAAAGTCACCAAAAATGATGGCACGGATCTGGATTTTTCAACGAATACCTCCAATGTAGCACCTGTGACTGGATGGTTACACGCTCTGTGGCAACAAGTCGAGCTACAATTGAACCAGCAGAACATAGCCTCG